CTGTCACCAGGGAGGGCAGGGGCAGCTGAGGTGGGGGCACTGAGCACTGAGCACCCACTGCCCCCCTCACACTGAGCTCTTCCCGCACAGGGCCGAGGTGATCCTGGGCAACATCCTGAAGAAGAAGGGCTGGAGGTACAGTATGGCACTCTCTCTGATCTGGGGTGTTTCCCTTGCTGGTGCCCTGGTCCCACAGGAGCAGCCACAGCTCCCCTGGGGTTTGGGGGGTCCCCCACCCTCGGGGCTGTGATGCCCTCCAGGGTGGGAGGCTGGCTGTGGCACCTCATCCCTGCTGGGGTAAGGATGCAGAGCTGTGCCAGCCCGGGAGGAGCTGACACTTTTAAAGGATGCACATTAGCATCTGTTGTGGGTTTTAAGGGATTTGCATAATCTTCAAAGTCCTCCCTGTGTGTGTGTCCTAGGCAGGTTCAGCTGGAGGGGGTCTAGCAGGGCTCTCTCCAAACCCAGCCGAGGGGATTAGGGGGGTGAGTGATTACCTGGTAAGAAATACTCTGGGTGATGTGGAGGAAATAAAATGAAGTGCAATAAAAGCTGGGGAAATTGTGTTGTACATGTCTGGTTATGCAGCAAGGCAGCTGGAGGATGATAAATCTTTGATTTAATATCGTGTAGAGTTTACAGATTAATTCAGATGTCTCACACTGGAGTTTAACAGCTCTGGGAGTGCTGCCTGGCAGTGAGAGGCACGGGCAGGATGGCAGGGGGGAACAGCCCTGCAGGCCCTGGGGAGAGGGCTGGGTGCTGCTCACTCAGTGATTACAAATGTCTGGGGGTTTGGTCACCTCACTGGGATTGCCTTTGCTTTCTATCACAATGTCCAATCCAAACTTCCCCTGACTTCATTCCATTTCCTCGTGCCCTGACTATTTATGGGCATATTTTACCAAAACACCTCAGGATATTTCACTTTCCATCTTCTGAAGGAGCTGAGCTCAGCTCCCCTGTGCTGCTCACCCCACTGGAGAGGGGCAATGCCCTGGGCACAGAGGTGCCATTCCCTGGGCACCTGGCAATTCCTGGGCTCTCCCTTTGCAGGCAATTCCCCCAAACCAACACTGGAGTCAGTGTCCTCAACATTTCACAGCTGATTTGGCTGTTTGAGCATCCCCAGCAGAAACCCTGCTCCCGGGTTTTACAAGTTGCTGATGGGCAACATCTGCTTTGTTGATGTCATTATTGTTATTAAAATATTATTATTTTTAAAATTTTATTAATTTTCCTGTTCTTTTTGCAGGAGGTCCAGTTTGGTGATAACCACAAAGCTGTACTGGGGTGGCAAGTAAGTGTGACAGTCACTTGTCCTGGGGTTTGCTGCCAGGGGATGTGACTGCAGGCAGGGGAGGTTAAGGGCACCTGGGGTGCTTTGCTGGTGTCACTGCAGTTCTGTCTATTTTACCAAGTGTTTTAAGGAGTTGGAGTTTCTCATCTGGAGAGGAGCAGCTCGAGGGAGAGCTCAGAGCCTGCAGGGGCTCCAGGAGAGCTGCAGAGGGACTGGGGACAGGGATGGAGGGACAGCACACAGGGAATGGCTCCCACTGCCAGAGGGCAGGGATGGGTGGGACATTGGGAATTGGGAATTCCTGGCTGGGATGGGATTCCCAGAGCAGCTGGGGCTGCCCCTGCATCCCTGGCAGTGCCCAAGGCCAGGTTTGGAGCAGTCTGGGACAGTGGGAGATGTCCCTGCCATGGCAGGGGTGGGATTTAAGGTTCCTTCCCAGCCCAAGCAGTCTGGGATTCTGTAATTTTGGGGGTATTTAAATCAGAACACAGCTCATTGCTCCCGGGCTGTTGGCACCTCTGCCAGCTGTTGCTGTTTTTCCCTTGCAGGGCAGAGACAGAGCGAGGCCTTTCCAGGAAACACATCATTGAAGGTACCTGGGCTGGGCTGGGGCTACCCTGGTGGGCTCTGTGCAGCTGATCCCAGTGCTCTCCATGAGCTGGGCTGTTTGATCCCACTGCCTCTGTGCCAGTCCCATGCAGAGCAGTTCCCAAACTCATCCTGAAATGCCCAAAATGCACCCAAGGATCGTTTTGGCTCCCCTCAAAGTGTCAGTGAATGGATTGCACTGGCAGCCCCCTCATTCCCTGGGGGTCTGCTGGGTTTGGGGAGCTCTCTGCACACCCCAGCCCTTCCCCATGGGGCCAGACATGGCCAGGGGTGCCTGGGCTGTCTGGAGCTGGAGGGATGAGGATGTGGCATGATGCCAGCCTGCAGAAACAGCCCCTGGAGGGCTGCCAGGCTTCACTGGCACAGCTGAGCTCTGCTCCTGGTGCTGCTGCTCCTCAAGGTCTCAGTTCTGCTGCCCATTCCCTCACCTGGCTCCATCCCATCCTGGGGCTCCTGACCCCAGTCCCTGCTCCCCTCTGGGGTTCCTGACCCCAGTCCCTGCTCCCCATCCCATCCTGGGCTCCTGACCCCAATCCCTGCTCCCCTCTGGGATTCCTGACCCCAATCCCTGCTCCCATCCTGGGGTTCCTGACCTCAGTCCCTGCTCCCCTCCCCTTCCCTGCAGCTCTGCCTTGTCCCTGGCCCCATGTCCCTGCAGGAGAGGGGACAGCAGGAACTCTGTGTTCTGTTTGCCCACAGCAAAGCCTTGGCCATGTGTGCCTGGGCTGGACCCAGAGCTGGCTCTGCAGGCTCAGCTCCCAGCACAGGGAGAGCAGTGCCAGGATCAGAACCATGCCTGGGAACTGAGGGGCACATCCAGGACCAGCAGTGTCCCCTGTGACCTTGTCCCTGTGAGAGGAGCCAGCCCGGGCTCTGGAGCAGGAGCATCCTGCAGCTCCTGGGCAGGGGAATGCTGTGGAGGGGCATTGCAGGGCAGTGCCAGCCCCCAGCAGGGCAGTGCCAGCCTAGGGGAGGATTTGTGCCCCAGCTCCCTGGCTGTGTGCCCCGTTTGTGCCTCCTGCCCCCATGGGATGTTCAGATCCTGCTGCTGGGGGCTCAGGGATGGGATCCTCTGGGCACAGCTCCTCCTCTCTGTGCTGCACACCTGGGAAATGGGAGCCCCAGGGCAGTGCCCAGCTCAGGTGGGATGAATGGGGGTCAGCCCTTTGGCTCCTTCCATCCTCCTCCTTCCTGCTCCTGGCACGTTTTATCCAGGATTCCCTGCAGAGTTGGATGTTGGACTGTTTGCAGGATCCAGGCACATCAGGATCCTGGGACTGTCCCAGTAAGGTAATGCTGCAGAAAGCTTTTCTTGTAGCAACATTTTGTTGGATTTTCATCTGAATAAGCTTCAGTGAGGGGATGGCACTGAAGGAGATCAGGGGGGTGGCAGATGTGTCACAGGCACTCCAAACCCAGCCATTTTCCATTTCTTGTGGAGCTGCTTCATGAAATGACAGAAAAGCACTGGCAAGAGTTGGAATAATTTCACAGAACACCCAGCAAACAACGTTAAGGTCAATGAGAGATATTTTATATTTTTATATATATTTATATATATCTGTGTGCGTGAGAGAGAGAAGAGGATTTTGAACAGTTATTTTCTACAAATCTTCCCAAGAACAAAATGTTTTTATGAATGTTCATGAAGAATGAGTCAAAATAGAGCTGGCTGGAAATGTTTGCTGAATTTTGAGCTGGATAAAATGCCCATCCTTTGCTCGCCCTCTCTCATACACTCATACATGGATATATAAATATATCTGCAGGGGTTTGATGCCATCTCCCATCAGATCCTCACAGGAAGGCTCTGAAAACCTGGGCATTTTCGGGCTGAGCTGCAGAGGGCTGGGGCTTGCTGTGCCCAAGCCCCTGGGCAGTGTGGGAGGGCACAGCTGTGGGCACTCCCTGTGCAGTGTGGGAGGGCACAGCTCACCTGGCAGGTGATGCTTTGCCTGTTCCCTGCTCCCCATGGCCAGTGCCACCCCCTGCACCCCTGGAGTGCCCCCCATGGCCTCAGGAGCTGGGGCTGAGCAGGACCCATGGCCAGTGCCACCCCCTGCACCCCTGGAGTGCCCCCCATGGCCTCAGGAGCTGGGGCTGAGCAGGAGAGGCTCTGTGACACAATGCAGACTGAATTCCCCACCGGGCACTGAATTCCCTGGCAGTGCCTCTGCCAGCCTGACAGGGACAGCTCTGAAACCAGGGCTGGTCAGCACAATCCTGGAGCCCTGAATAAAGCACATTCTGGAGAAGGAGGGGCTCTGTGTGTGGCCAGACTGGTGCTTTCCTCCTCAGATGGCTGCAGGGAGGTGGGACAGCACCAGTCAGCATCCTTCTCACATCCTGACTCTGTGTATCTATATAAACCTGTGTCTATATAAAAATATACGTATTTAAGTACAGCCAGCTGTGTCTGATCCCGTTCTGGCCCTGTTCCCTGCCTCCCTCTGACCCTGCCTGTCCTTGTCTCTGCTCTCCCAGGGCTGAAGGCTTCTCTCCAGAGGCTGCAGCTGGAGTATGTGGACGTGGTCTTTGCCAACCGGCCGGACAACAACACCCCCATGGAAGGTTGGTGGGGGCTGCACAGGAAGGGGTTAACCCTCAGTGCCTGGTCCTGGCCTGAGGGCTGACACTGAGGAGGGCAGGAAAGGCAATTTGTAATCAATTGTTCAGGTGGGGCAGCTTAAATGTGAAATATCTCATTTTGGTAGCCATGGAAGGTGTCCCTACCCATGGCAGAGGGTTGGAATTAGATGTCTAAGTTCCCTCCCAACCTATTTAAGGTTTCTATATCTACTCTGCCACATGAATTTGTGTGGCTTGGAAGGAAATAGAAGTTTCCTTTCTGTCCCAGGAGTGCCTTCAATGTTTGGAGCATTTCTGTTCCCAGTTCCTTCAGACAGAGAGAATTTGTGGCTGGATTCAAGGCATGGTCCATGGCAGGTGGCACAGGAGCTGTGGTGGATGATCCATGGCAGTCAAATAGAGCTGGAGCTCCGTGTCAGGAGTGCTGGCACCTTGCTGGATGTGGGGCTGTGCCACCATGGGTGACCCGTGGGTGCCCCCAATGAGGGTCAGGGCCCAGCCTGGGATCTCAGGAGCTGCTGAGCTCAGGGCAGGCTCTGTGCTGTGTCTGGCAGGGAGTTGTGCTCTCTGTGCTCGCTCTGCTGTCACTGAGCAGCGTGGAGGGGCTGCCCTGCCAGGGCACAGCTGAGCCCACACCCCAGTGCCAGCCCTGGCACCAGGCACAGGCTGTGGCGCTGGCTGAGGCTGCAGCAGGGTGAAAAAAGGGACATTCCTCTTATGAATGGCATGCTGGAGACACTTCCCATCTTCTTCCTGCCTTTTTTATGGCTCACCCACTAAGGCACTTCCATCCCAGAGCATCTGCTGGGCCATCTGTCAGCGCTGCTTGCTGAGCCACTCCATCCTGCTCAGCACCACACATTCCTCAGCTTCTCCCACAGGGAGCCAAGGAAGGCACCTTGGAGCTCATCCCGCTCCCTGCCACTGTCCCAGGCTGCTCCAAGCCCTGTCCAGCCAGCCCTGGGCACCGCCAGGGGTGGGACAGCCCCTCCTGAAGGACAAGGTGACCTTGAAGTGTTCCCTACTCGTGGCAGCACCTGTGGGTCGGGCTGGAGCAGCCTGAGCAGGGGGACACAACCCGACCAAACCTGAATGTGCTGCTTGTTTTCCCTGCCTGCTGCTTCCACAGATCCTCCTGTGACCCCAGCCAGCCAGATCCCTCTCCCCAGGCTGCCCAGGCTCTGCTGCTCCCCTGGGCAAGGAGCAGATGAGCATCCATGGGGATTTCTGTGCTGCCAGTTACTGGGCCTCAAGGCACCTGGCAAAGCTGCTTAACCTAAACCCCCCAAATGTATTTCATGTTCTTAAAGGTCTCTGAACAAATCAAAATGTAAAAGCAGGGAGTGTTGGAGGCAGTGAGCAGCTGCAGAGGAGCACCTCGGGCAGCTTGTGGCACATGGGTCTGGCTGTGCCCCCTGTGCCCCAGAGCCAGGCTGGGGGTGAGGGCTGAGGGCTGCCCACCCTCCCTGGGGCTGGCTCAGCTCAGTGTGAGTGTCCCTGCCATCCCAGCAGGGCAGCTGGACAGGAGGGTCCCTGGGGTGTCCCCAGTGTCACAGAGCCATGTGCCCACAGTGTGCCCAGCAGCCACACACAGGGAGGGAAGGTGACAATGTTCCTACCAGGGAACTCTAACCTTCCTCAGAGTTATTATTGTTATGGTGCCAGGGGCTGTTATTTGGGATTTGAAGCATTGATTTATATTTTAAAAAAAAACCCAACTTCTGTTCTTAAGTGCTGCCATTTGGGATCCAGCTGGCAGTACAAGAGATGTGGGCCTGTGCCCTTCCCAAATCCCGTCACTGTCCCCTGGCTCGCTCAACAAGGAGATATATATGTGTATATATATATATATTTATATATATTTTCTGAGTTGACTTTCAGAGTTTTTTTGAAAGGAGTAGAGGCTGGAGAAGTGCAAACAACCCCGGGCTGAGATGTGTAAGAGGCGTGTGACGAAATGTTTTCCAAAACTCTGAAATGGTGGCGGGGCAAAAATAGCAAACTAAACCCAGGGAGAAGCTGCTGAGGAGGGAGGAGGAAGGGAAGGATCACCAACAGGCTTAGCCTGATGGTGGTAGGAAATGAAAAACAATTTTAGATTAAATATTCAGATGGAGCAACTTGAAATTGCTCATAATTGAATTCTGGAGCCCTGGTCAGGTGGAAGGTGTCCCTGCCCACAGCAGGGCTTGGAAGAAAAAGATCTTTAAGGTCCTTTAGTTTTAACATCCCTTCCAACCCAAACCAATCCAGGGTTCCTTTAAACTGAAGTTCATGAGGGTTTTTTCACCCCCAGGCAGGCAGGGAAATCTGAGGGGTGAAATCCAGGATCCTGTCCAGGTGTGTGTGGCCTTGGAAGCTTCCATATCCCAGAGAACAGCAGTGGGGGGACTGTGGCACAGCCATGGGGACCAGGGCCCTGCTGTGGGGCAGAGGTGACACCTGAGGGTGACAGGGCCCTTGGTGGAGTGGGGTTCAATCAGCCATTCATGCAGCTTTGTCCTTGGTAAAAAGAGGCACACCCAGATATGTGCTTTCAGGAAAAAAATTTTAAAAAAAAAAGGAATTTATTTTGAAGTTTATTTTTCCACTGTGCTGCCCTCTTGTGTTCTGTTTTGAAGGAAATGTCCTCCTAAGGCCGTGGTAGGCAGGAGCAGGTGGGAAAAGCAGTTTTTACCCAGCTGCAGGGTCAGTGTCTCGGTGTTTGCACTGAAAATGCTTTTCCAGCCCTGCCTGGGCAGGAGAGCACGGCAGGAGCGTGCTCAGGACTGTCAGTGTGGGGTGTTTGGGAGTGGGATTGGTGGAAATGTGACCTCTGGGCCCTTCTCACTCTCCTTTTTTTGCTGTTTTTCAGAAATCGTGCGGGCTATGACACACGTGATCAACCAGGGCATGGCCATGTACTGGGGCACGTCCCGCTGGAGCGCCATGGAGATCATGGTGAGGGGCCTGAGGATCATCATGAGGGGCCTGGGGGCTGTGGAGATCGTGGTGAGGGGTGTGGAGGTCATGGTGAGGGTGTGGAGATCATGGTGAGGGGCCTGGGGCCCACGGAGATCATGGTGAGGGGCTGGGGGCCATGGAGATTGTGGTGAGGGGCCTGGGGGCCATGGTGAGGAGCGTGGAGGTGATGGTGAAGGCCACAGAGGTCATGGCATTGCAGCCCTGGGCACGCTGGGTTCCACTCCATCCAGGCTTTCCACCTCAAATAGTTTAACAGGCTGTCCCAGAATGAGCCCAGTGCTAATTAGGGGAAGATGGGCTGATGTGTGGGAGTTTGGGTGGTTTGTTTGGGTTTGTGCCATTTTGGTTTGACTGAAGGCAAGTCCTTCAGTTTGATGTCAGTCATGGCAGGGGGTGGAATGAGATGGGCTCTAATGTCCCAAACCAGGGACATTAGATAGATTGCAGCATCCTGCTGGTCCCCCTTGCCCTTACCCTGGCCATCTCCTGTGCCCTCAGAGAACGTGGCCTGGCGTGTCCTGCAGACATTCCCATTTTCTGAAGGTTTTCTCCCTGGTTCCCTCTGCAGGAAGCCTACTCTGTGGCCAGGCAGTTCAACATGATCCCCCCGGTGTGTGAGCAGGCTGAGTACCATCTGTTCCAGAGGGAGAAGGTGGAGGTGCAGCTGCCAGAGCTGTACCACAAAATCGGTGAGGCTGGGCCTGCTGGGCATTCCCAGGGAGAAATGGAGGGCAGGATGGCCTGGGGCTCCAGGTGGGACCAGTGACAAAGCCAAGCCTCTATCTAATAGTGACCCTAAAGAAAAACCAGCTTACTGTGCCTCTGATGAAGGATTGCTTAATATTATCTGTTAATAACTAAAGTACATTAATGAACATATTAAGTATTAATTGGCTTGGCTGCTCCTTGCCCTCTGAGATTCACATGGTCCATTAAGTGAAATAAATCCTTCAGGGCACCAGCAGCACATTCCTGCAGGACCAGCTGAGCATTGCTGCCCGTGGCAACAGAAACAAGCAGCTTCAGTTTGCTCTTGGTTTAGTTTTTGAGTGAAATCTGTATTTTTGCTGCAGCTCTGACCTGTCCCACTCCTCTCAAACCCCCTTTTTGTGTTCCCTCTGCAGGGGTGGGAGCAATGACGTGGTCTCCCCTGGCCTGTGGGATCATCTCAGGGAAATACGGCAACGGGGTCCCTGAAAGCTCAAGGGCTTCACTCAAGGTATTTCTGGGGCACCTTTGAGTGGTGCTGCTTTTGTCAGGGCAGGAAAACAACAAAGGGGAAAGAAAGGGCTCCCTCGTGAGAAGGAGTGCTCTGCTTGCATGGATCAGCTCGGTTTCTCTGGCAACCACACTCCAAAGAGCAGCAGAATCTGGGTTAGAACCAGCCCAGGCTCCCCACGCAGGGAGCTCAGGGGGCTTGGGCAGGTCTGGGGTCTCAGGGGCTGCTGTCCCCACCCTGCACTGAGGGACATCACCACAAGCCAGGGGCTCTGTGGGGCTCCTCACTGATGTTAACCCTGGGATTTTAAGGTTGGAAAGGACCTCCAAGGTCACAGAGTCCAAGCCTGAACGGATGCAGCTGCTGCCACTTGTAGCCCCTGAACCACGCAGGTCCAACAGGCTTGGACATCGTGTCCCTGGGTACCAGCCTGGGCCATGGGGGTGCTCAGCCCCCCAGCATCCCCCCAGAGACCCCCAGGCCAAGGGCAAGCCTGCTGAACACCCATGGTCTGCTGGGGGCTGCCCTCTCTAACAGGTTTTGGCATTCTGGTGTCACCACAACTAATTGTGGTTTCTCCACAATTATCCTGATTTTATCCTCATTGAGAGTTATGGGATCCAAAAAGAAAACTGGGGAGATTGCAGGTTCTGGAGTGAGAATAAAGCCAGAGAGCTGAGCACAACAGGAGACATTCTGGTGCTGCTCTAATTGCTTTGGGCAGCCCAGCTTTGTGTTCTCAGCCTCCACGACCTTCTGGGCTGGATGTGGCTTTTCAAGTGCTGCTATTTATAGATATTTATAGATTATAATTACAAATCGCCTTAAACTCCCCACTTTGGAGGCTGCAAGCTGACAGCCTGCTGTCTGTGATTGCCCTGCAGTGCTACCAGTGGCTGAAGGAGAAGATCATCAGCGAGGAGGGCAGGAAGCAGCAGGGGAAGCTGAAGGACCTGTCCCCCATCGCCGAGCGCCTGGGCTGCACGCTGCCACAGCTGGCTGTTGGTGGGTGCCTCACAGCTGCCAGGGACTAACACACAGCATGTGCTCTCTTTACACTGTGGTTTGGGCAGGGCCTGCAGCTGGAGATGTGTTTGTTGTTTAAAATCTGTGAAAAATTACTGATCCTGCAGGGGTTTGTGGTAGAAAGGAATTTAAAGCCCATTTTGTTCCAGCCCCTGTCATGAGGTTCCACTATCCCAGTTGCTCCAAACCTGTCCAGCTTGGCCTGGGACACTCCCAGGGATCCAGAGGCACCCACAGCTGCTCTAGGCAGCAATTAATTAAAACAGGATTGTTTCCAGCAGCAGCACCAGGCTGTGGCTGACAGGGTCAGTGTTGTGGGCATCCCCAGGATGGCCATCCCCACCTCCCTGTTCCCCTGGACATCCCTCTCCTCATGAAGCCATCACCTTTGTGGTGCTAGGCTGGCAGACAAGAAAATGCTGTTCAAAATGAGTTCTGGGGGTTTTTCCTAATAATTATGCTGCTGAGAGCTGAGGCTGGAAAATACCACGTCTGTCAGAAAGGTGATCCCTGGTTCAACATCCCAGCAGTGAATCCTTGTGATGGGGAAAATCCAAACCCCACAGCCAGAGAAGTGCTGGGGCAGGGAGCAGGCTCAGGATCCTGGAAGATCTGTGGGGTTTGATATTTGATCAGTGCATCTTCCCCAGGGTAGAGACAAAGAATGGGATTATTGCCAAGCAGAGACAGGGGCTCTGTCAAACACCAGGGACTGGAGCCAGGCCCTGCCAGCCCCCCTGTGTCCTGACCACGCTGTGCCTTTGTTCCCAGCATGGTGCCTGAGGAATGAGGGGGTGAGCTCTGTGCTCCTGGGATCCTCCAACCCCGAGCAGCTGATCGAGAACCTCGGAGCCATCCAGGTGAGTGCAGGGGGACACCCCACACCTCAGCACTCCCCTTCTCTCAGCACAGGGCTGCTTGGGGTTCTGTCTCTCAGCTCCATTCATGCACCCTCATCAGGCCCATCCTGCTGTCCCCATGGCTTAGCACCTTTTGGGGCATTGCAGACGTGTCCAGTGACACGAGGGTGGCACCAGCAGCTTTCATGCACCTGAAAATGCAGCTGAGTCCAGGGCATGATGTGACAGATCCCGTGCTGTCACATGTCACTTGCACCCACCTTAATTATTCCCTGTTGTTTTTCCCCAGTCAGAGCTGCCTCTGCAGTCCTTGCCACCAGCTCGTGTCCCAGTGCAATATTCCACACACAAAGCTGAGAGGCTTTGCTGTGATTCTCTCACTGAGTAAAGATCCTCCAGAGGTTTTTCCTTTAAGGGAGAAAGTTATGAGATGAATGCTTAATATCTGTCACACAAAAAGCCCAGAGGAAATGTACTTTGATAAAATCTAGGTTTCATTTTGGAACTATCTGGATTAAGCATCGCTTTCTTCCACCCCAGGTCCTTCCAAAGATGACATCCCATATTGTAAATGAAATAGATAATATCCTGGGCAACAAGCCCTACAGCAAGAAGGACTACAGATCCTAATGCAATGCATGAATTTCCTGGACTGCATGGTTTAGAAGTGCTCTGTACTCCAGTACAGCCCTGAATTACTCTCATGAGAATCATTCAGCACTTGCTGCTCGGTGTCTACTGTCACTGGATCCTTCGAGATGTGTGCTCTTGCTACTACTCTGCAGTGAATTTAAAAGCACAGTTGATCTCTCTTCTAACCAGGAATAACCTTGTATTTTCTTACCTTCTTGACCGAGTTCATTAATTTTTACTTTACTCTTTGCACCTCATGCTTGTGCTGTGACAAACACTTGTAAAGCAAAAAAAAAAAAAAAAAAAAAGAAAAATTTATAACCTTCAGGTACTTGGTAATTAAAGAAGGATGTACAGATCTATTTTTTCAATGAAGAAAAGCCAGATACAACTTCAGGTTTTAATAAAACCATGTTTGGGAAATCTCAACTATAAAGTTTCTTCAGGTTAACAGATGGAAGGGGCAAGCTCAAACTTTGCTTTTTTATGCTGAATATAAGCTCTAGGATTTCTTTGTAGTTGAATAAAAGGCTGTGAGACAGAGAACTAGTTAGCAATTAGATAGTTCAGCTCCTAATGTTCCAGCTGTTCCAGCTGTGGAGTGCTCCTGGAGCAGTGCTAGGAAGCCCAAACACGCATGTCAGGTTACTGAGCACGACAGCTCTGCAAAGTTCTACTCTCCATAAACCTTAAGCCAAGAAAGCCATGATTAAATATTGGGTTTTGCATCTATAGAAACCTGCCTCTACTTCTGCCTGCTTGTAGACAGAGCTACTGCAAATTTCAATATTCAGGAGCTTTTAAGGATCTAGATACTATAAATATATACAACATATAGCTGCTGAGAGCTGCAGGAACAATCAGGTACGTACTCCAAAAGGCTACACCTGCTTCCACTTGCTTTGGAACTGGGGATCAGTAAATGCACAGACACATTTTAAACAGATTTTTGTGAGCATTTACAGGAGTTGACAGGAAGAATTTACGTCTGGATTTGCCCAGCTCAAGCCCACATTGTACCTTCCCAAGGATTTGCTCTGTACCATGCTCCTCTGATTGCAGTCTGTATTTCTCCCGTCCCTGCTGGGACCCAGCTCTGTACAGTATTTGTAGGACCCCTGTACTCCCCCTGCTGCACTCACCTGGGCCAGGTGAGCAGCTTCCCCCACCCGAGTGCTCTCCTCCTGTATTTGAAGCTGTGGTGTGTGTAAATGACTCCTGCTGTACATGAGAAATGCAGTCTGACTGGAATTCTGCTTGGACACAATAAAAGCATTTTGTGCATCTACCCTGAGAGCTGCAGACCCGTTACTGACACTGGAGCTGGGCCAGCAGGGCTTTGTGCTGAGCAGGGGGGTGATGCTCCACAGGGAACATTCCAGCTGTGCCCAGGGGATGTTCCAGCTGTGCCCAGGAGGGACAGCAGGGAGCTGGGCTGGCCCCAAGGTGCTGCTGGCAGGCAGTCCCCAAGGAGCACAGCAGTCCCAGGTAAGGTCTGGCCTGGCCTGGCCTGGCAGGGATGGATGGGATTTTGGGAAGGAATTCCTCCTGGGGAGGGTGGGCAGGCCCTGGATCCCTGGCAGTGCCCAAGGCCAGGTTGGACATTGGGCTTGGAGCAGCCTGGGGCAGTGGGAGGTGTCACTGCCATGGCAGGGGTGGCCCTGGATGGGATTTAAGCTCCTTTCTAAGCCATGTTTTGTTTTTTATGTTCCTTTCTAAGCCCTGTTCTGTGATCTGGCCTGGAATGAGCCCAGTGCAGCTGTCCCCAGGTGACAATGACCAGTCCCAGCCAGCTGGGGTGGAGCCCCCCTGGCCCTGCCCTGGGAACATCCCCACTGCTGCATTACCACTAACTTCTGTTAATTTTTACAGAGCTTCAAGCATTTCACAGTTAACAGCTTTATTAATCTAATATAATTATCCTGCCAGTAACAGACTAATTCCTTTTCCTCCCCCTGGAGGTACAATTTAATGTTCTCTCTTCCCCTTCTCATGTACTTGGGAATCCAGTAATGTATTAAAACTAGATCAATTCCCAACTTTAATTGGGGAGATGGCATTGTCCCTTACAGGCTCTGAGGGCAATGTGGGGCCAAGCAGCAGCCCTGCTTCAGGTTAACCCTCAGCACTAGACTAGAGAAATATAATTTCAATGTTTTATATTGATTTTTTTTATTTATCATTGAAGCTTGTAGTGGGGATTGCAAGGGAAAAAACAAACACCACCTCTTAAAAAAAAAACAAACGGAAAAAATGAACAAAAAATCCAAATGCCAACAAAAAAAGCCCCAAACTTTTCTGTGAAAGCTCAAGATTAGTTTTTTTTTTGCAGAACACATCCCACCCCACCCACCCACCTGCTTTTGTTTCAGGCTGTCAGTGCTCCAGGAAAATTGTGACACGCTAAGCTCCAGGCCCCAGCAACTGTCAATACCAAAAAAGCCCTAAGAGAAGATGAAAAGCTGGTAATAAAAGAGTCAGTGAGCCGACAGTAATGGCAGAAGAAAGTGCTGCTTCCAAGCTCTTTGCAGACAGCACATTTCCTGGGGAATACACCTGCTGAAGCCCTGCCAGGAAAGTGAGTATAACACTGTCTGTCCAAGGGTGTCAGTTCAGCTCTGGGGGCTCCGAGAGCAGCGGAGCAAAACCAGCAACATCAAAGTCCTGCTGCTCCCACAGGAGCCAGCCTGGCTCTCAGCTGGCCTCTGGATTTTGGAGAGGGCTGTTAAAAATCTGCTTGATGTGAGCTAAATACTCAGCTAAAACCCATCAATTATATCCCTCATGAGATGTGAGGCCAAGGAAAGGGAAACTGTCCAAGGCAGGCAGCAGCTTTAGGGAATGTGTCCTTCCAGTGCTGAATAGTCAGGCAGAAGGGATAAAGAGAAACACATGTATTTTGAGAAAAAACAGTTAATTAAAGAGTATTTAACGACCAAGAGTACTTGAATTTGTCAGAAATAGAGCCATTACTGTCTCCTGCTCGTCACATTCTCTCCATTTTGCTCTATTTTCCATTTAATCTTATTGGAGCCAAGATTAGCAGAGTAATTGTTACATTAAATCTGATTTAAAACTTTCTTCTCTCTTTAGGATCCCAAGTCTGTAATGGCAGGATCTGTAACTAGAATTCCATTAATATCAGTAGAGTTTGGCATTTAAGTGAACAGCTGCTCCAGAGATAGGCAGAAAATAAGGCACAGGATTGTCTGATAAACCCATTATTAAGAGCCAGCTAAAGCATTTTTCTTAAGCTGTGCAGGAAGACTGGCAGGGTTTTTTATTTATTTATAACTTTGAAGATTAATGAAAAAAGTGCATTGAAACCACTTCAAAAGCATTTTCCTAGGAGATTCAGGTTTTGTCCTCACTCCATGTTACTCAGAAATGAGGAGTGCTTCCAAGGAATATGTTAGCTTGTATATGTCTCCTCTCTTCTGGAAGCAGAAAGACAAACCTGGGTATGAAAATCCCGTGTTTTTCAAAAATGAAGAATGAAAATACAAGGAATCAAATGGCAAAAAAAGATCTTTTTAATTACAATTTTTCAAGTTACAATGATAAATGGATTGTCCCCAGGGCGGAGCTGCAGAAAGGTGATGTCTGCTCACAGCTCACACCCCCTCTCCATGCTAAGTAAAAAAAACCCAAAACTGAGTAATTCCAATATCAAATACCATGTAAAGATACCAAAAGTAAATACAATTCAACCATTTTGGATTCAAACCCTCCCCACGTTTTCCTCATGCTAAAAACCAAAAAATATTCCTATTCCACCCTTAGGCATTTTCATGGCAGCTGAAGCCTCTCTCAGGAACTGCTGAGGGTTCTGTGTCTACTTGGATCCTGTGGACAGCAGAGCAATCAGTCCTGAGGAAGCACTGATAGAAAGGATGTAGTTTCTGTAGGGAGCAGGTTAAGGAATTGTCAAGGTCTTTCTTTGGTACACAACATTTGGAAAGAGTTTTATGAAAAGAAAGGTATTGAAATCATCTTTCTCTGGAGTTTTAAAACTGGAATACTGCAAGCTGAAACACAGCTTTAGAACTCACCTGCAGAATTAAGACACTTGTAAAGTTTTACAGGTTTTATAAATACTGATCTTGAATTAACTGCCCTGTTGGCAATACTAATATCCTGCAGGAACAATGTATTTTCCTTGTGAGCTACTGGAGCTGAAGCATCCTGTCAGGGAAGAGCTCCTGGCAACCAACACTGACACAGTTTTTGCAGAAAACTGTCCTCACTCCAAAATTGCAATGCAAATGGCAAGGCCAGGAGAATCCCTGTATACTGTCCAAGCAGTATCTTAAAACATCTCCTGTTTTAAGGGACTTTAATTGGGAGACTTTTTTTCTTATTTTTGTTTCAACCTTCTAAGCTGCCATACTAACCATGAGTTGCAGGTACCAAGAGAGGAATGCCACAGCCCACAGGACAACCACAACCAGGGGTGAAGCTAACAGGAGTGGGGCTGTGGGAGTTTCAGGGTGGGGATAAAGGATACACAGTGGGGTTGAAGTTCTTCAGCACGAAAAAGGAAGCAATGATAACCAGCACCAGAAAGAGGGTGTTGTTGTAGAAGATGGAGAAAGTTGTTGCTTCATAGTCTGCAACTTCATTTTTCTTCCACAGAATCCTAGGAGCAAGTGGAGATAAAATTTCAAATATATTTAAATCAATGGATATCACAGAATCCTGGAATGGTTTGGGTGGGGAAGGGCCTTAAAGCTCATTCCACTCCACCCCTGCCATGGCAGGGACACCTCCCACTGTCCCAGGTGCTCCAAGCCTGTCCAGCCTAGCCTGGACACTGCCAGGGATGGAGATATCCTGGACACCCACATGCTGAAGTGAGCAGGAGTTTCTCCAGGAGGCAGAGTTTGGCTCCCAAGCTCCCCTCCTGGATGGGGATATCCCAGGGATGGGGATATCCTGGATACCCACATGCTGAAGTGAGCAGTAGTTTCTCCACAGGACACAGAGTTTGGCTCCCAAGCTCCCCTCCTGCACAGTCCCAGTGGGGATCCCTCTAACACCGAGGGCATCTGAGACCTTCCCTTGACAACTCATCTCAAAAGGGTTTGAAGCTGAACCACGAGCTACCCTGCAGCTGCTGCTTCCCAAAACACAGAAAAACAGTGCAAGCACAGTCCCTACTGTCCCACCCAGAGCCTCAAAGACATTTAAGGCCCTCCTACAAGAAGGGAGAGGAGGAGGAGGACAGAGAGATCACCTTTCATCCTTCTCCTTGCGGGACATCTTCCTGTTGTCTGCCTCAGACAGCTTGCGAGTCACCTCCTTGGAAACTGCATCTTCTCTTTTCTGGGCTACTCTGTAAGTAACACCACTCATGTCACACTTCAGAAATTAAAAAACCCCACAGCCCAGCCCTGGCATTACAGGAAGTTTTATATGTCGTGAAGAATGCAACTCAGCTAAGATACCTGACAGTTTTGTCAAGGTGAAGGGATAAGAATTAATAACAGCAATTACTAAAAGTAATACCATTCACATCCAATAACTAAAATAATTTATAATTTAAATATAATTTATGGTGATACCCAGGGAGCATGATGGCGGATTTACTATTTCACCATACTCTTAGCTGACGAGATTTGACTATAATTACAAGAGAATAACCAATTAGGAGATACTTCTCTGCAAAATATTTTTGAGTAATATTTCTTATTAATAAAGAACTATAGCTGTAAATGGCAGGGTTTTTTTTTAAATTATGAAATGATAAATTCAAAGAGGCATCAAACTTACTTGTGTTTGAGGACAAACTTGACGTTTTTATATGCAAAAGCCACGAGATAGGTACTGATGAGGGTCATCACGCTGTACAGGACTGCAGACTGAACAAGATCCATATGCCATATTCTCCAATAAAGCCCTTAGAAAAAAGGAAGAGTGATATTTGAAACAGCTTCTCTGCAAGAAAAAACGCCCCATATTGGAGACCCATAGAGGATCTGAGCTCTGTAATTCCACAGCCTCTGCCTGAGCAAAGCCAACCCCTCCAAAATCACTCGGGATTCTTTCAACTGCATTGAAAGCACTTTGGAAGGAGCTGTGTGAGAGCACGGCCGAGCCTGCGGGCAGCGCTGCTGCGGTGACACGTCAGTGATGCTGCCCTG